TCCTACTATCTCTGATTCAACTTTAACATAGGTATGTTTTTTTTTACAAATGCATTGCGCAAACCACAAGAGAAAAGTCACAGCTGCCAGTGTGGCCTAGACACTTGAAAAGGAGTTCTGCACGTGTGCACTTTGTAGGAGTGTAGATTCAATTCCCATTACAGATTTACTAATTATGAAAACAGTATTTCACATAAAGATTGGAGAATGGTTTCCAAAAATTGCATCATGCTCCAAAATATACATTGTATAAAGCTTTCACTTCAACAAAGATAAACTGAAAAGCAATTTCAGTGCAACTAGCTTACATTAATGACGTATACAGACTGATACAAGATCTCAATAAATATGATATACTTCATCCTTCAGGGCATTACAGAGTCATAGAGTTGTACAGCAAAGAAACAGACCCTTTGGTCCAACTCGCCTATGCCAACCTGTTATCTTAAACTGATCTAGTCCCACATGCCAGTATTTGGCCATCTCCCTCCAAATCCTTCCTATTCATGGACCCATCCAGATGCTTTCTGCAATTGTACCGCCTCCATCACTTCTTCTGGCAATTCATTCCATATACGCACCACCTTCTGCGTGAAAAAACTGCCCCTCAGGTCCCTTCTAAATCTTTCCCCTCTCACCTTAAACCTATGCCCTCTACCGTGGGAGAAAGACTTTGGCTATTCACCCTATCTATGCCCCTTATGATTTTATAAACCTCTGTAAAGGTCACCCCTCAGCCTCCAATGTTCCACGGAAAAAAGCCCCAGACTATTTAGCCTCTCCCTATAGCTCAAATCCTCCAGTCCAAGAAAACAAATATATGGAACAATAATAGGGGGAATAAAAATGATGGAATTGCAACATAACTTCTATGACAAATAGTATTGAGAAAATAAAATTACTCATTTTAGTTAACATCAGCAGAACAGATTTCAGCTACATATTATGGGGTATTACATTATGGATCTGGATCTTGTGGTTTTAATGATAGTAAAATTGTTAGCATTCACCATCATTATCATGTGAAACTGACAGCAACTTCTGATCTCTGTGGTAATATTATTGATTGGATATGGCTGCAACAAATGACAATCACAACACTGTCAGTTCAGTACAATGATTATTCTCTGCATTAACACTAATTCGAATAACCCGTGGTATTCTTTTAACCCCTTAATTTTAATCATCTGGCTAACTTATTTTGAAATATTTAGCCATCTCACCTTCAATCACTAACTATAGTCATGAATTTCATACTCTCAGAACCCTCAAAGTAAAGATCTCTAACCTACTTATTTACTCATTGCAGTTTGTAATGCTTTCATTGGAGCGGTTCAGCTGTTCAAATGTCCTTTCCCCATGGACCTCCAAGATAATGGCATCATTGAACTGTTGGCAGTCTTTACTGGTGGAGGGTGGGGGAGGGGATAGTGCGATCAGAAGCTGCAAGGCAATCCTTGCTGGCAGAAATATAATTCAAGTGTTTACCTTTCTAAAGGCATAAGGAGCAGGATTTTGCGCTGGTATTGATGACCAAACTGTCATAAATCACTGTCGATACTCCACAGAAACCTTTAGGAGCTCACACACGTACAGAAAATTGAGATAATGTACAGAAAATCAGAAGTTGTTGTCAGTGGCTTTTTTCAGGGCTTGGAGCACCACCAGCCTTGAATCAATGGAATAGATAAGGATTTCTACTCTTATACTAATACCTGCATGTAAAACACTTGAAAAAACTCATCTTGTTGATAATGTTGTAACAGATGTGTTAGCTTCATCATTGTTACCATCACTAGTCAATGCGAAAAGTTTCATTTTAAGTCTCTTAGTGCATCATGAAGAGCCAAAGTGCTCCTTTAGGTATCACAAAGACATCTCAAATTTTACAAACACTTCCTTCTCTTTTGCAACCATGGACAGGATCACCTTCCACTCTGAACTGACCTATAACCAACTGCTGGGACTCTTTCCACATTTCTGACTGTCTGTCACCAAAGCCCTACTCTCACCCACCAACCAGGGAATGGTTCTGACCAGGAGATAGCAAGAACTGCTGATGCTGGAGTCAGAGTCGATACAGTGTGGAGCTGGAGGAACACAGCAGCATCAGAGGAGCAGGAGAGTCGACGTTTCGGGCATAGGCCCTGGATCTGACCAACATGAGCACAGGACTCCTTGAATATTTACATAAGTGAGGCCTGATCCTTAACATCACTCAGATTTTCAGATCCTGGACTCATCGTGTGAGATGCCTGTTTAGGGCTCATGAGCAGTGCACCTCTCCCAAACTTTAAAATTGGGGCTTATGTCAAGTGTTAGCTTGTTGTTTCAATGTTTGGTTATCCTAAATGGAGTTTCTTACCACTCACACATTGATCAGTTCATTCAGCAGTTGATAAGGCCACATTTTTACATCCAATGTCAACGAATATAAATCCACCATATTCCGTATTGTGTCATACCACTTTCTGATGCCCACTTATTCGTTCTCTAAAAATTTTGGATATATTAGACCAAAGCTAACCTCACATTTACCTCCATAGTCACAAATATTTTAATTATGCACCTAATTAAAACCAAATTTGTCATGCTAATGCAAAAAAAAACTGTAGTAAACATTTACACTAATTATTTACCACTTGCAATTGATGTTTAGTGCTAATTTTCATTCTTTTTGAAGTAGGCCATAAAGCACATAATACAATACTTCTTATTTCTTCTCATATTTCCACTTTTCTAAAAGTTTAGATAATTTACCTTTCTTGAAGACAAGCTGGCTTCATTTTGAATGGTGAGGGACCAGAAGAAACATATGGCTTGATTTCTGGTACAGGCCAACCCTGGGGATCGATGTTAACACTTACAGTGCCAGAAACAGAGCCAGGCTGTACCATACTGTTTGCAACTTTAACCTCTGGCTGTGACTGCTGCACAGGAATAGAGGAAAGATTGATCGACTGATGCTGTTGTTTATCCTGGTTAATTTGAAAGTGAAGTTTTTCCTTCAACCTGTATAGGAACTGATAAATATAAAAACAGTACTCAGTTATGGAAAAGTTGAATGACTAAACACATGATTTAATACAGTCTCTCTACACAACCAAATGCAATGTGGAATGATGACTCAAGAGCCAAATTGAACAGATGTGTTTAAGGGAAACTAGATAAGCAGTTGAGAAGAATGTAAATAAAGAGCTCTGAGTGAAATTTGGAAAGATGATGGGAGGCTCAAGTGGAGTATAAGTGCTAGAAGGTACTGCTTAGGTCAAATAACCTGTTTTTGTACTGCATATTCTATACAGTTTTGCCTAAATAAGCCCTTCCATCATAATAGTTCTACACCACTGTGTGCACAGACTGTCACTAAAAGACATTAATGAACCAGATGGGTGTATGTTTTGAGTGGCTGTTGATAGTGGTTACATTGTCATCATAAGGCCAGCTCCTTATTCCAGATTTTATTGAATTTAAATTTCTCCATCTGCCATGGTGTGATCTGAACCCGTATGCCTACAACATTGACAAAAATAGAAATTGCTGGAAAAGCTAATCGGGTCTGGCAGCACCTGTGGAGAGAAATCAGAATTAATGTTTTGGGTCGAGTGACCCTTCATCAGAATTTCTATTTTTGTCTCTGATTTATAGCACCCACAGTTCTTTCGTTTTTTATTTGTCCAGAACATTGGTCTGGGATTCAGGATTACAAGCCCAGTGACATTACAACTATCCCATCAGCTCCCTAATATCATCATATAATCATTTATATACATTTCACACATTTTATATACATAATAATTCAGATGACATTGAACTACCTTTCCCCAAACCAAATCGTCTGAAATAGTAACATATACAATCACAGGTCTGGCAATTGACCTCTCTTTCTGTATCTATCAGTGCTGACTAAGTCATCATGTACTCATGTTAATTTCTCTTAATGGCCCTCTCCTTCAGCAGAGGAAGAACATTGACAACCAGAGTGAATGTGCACAAACAGCGGGTGGGGGACAACTATCATATGGATCCTGAGCTGGCAGGAGACCAAGGGCAAGGTACCCATGCTGAAGAGGAGATTGGATATCCACAGCCATCTAGTGAGAAGTCAGCCAAGCACCTACTGCCAGCCGCACATCAAATCGTAATGTCTTAATAAAACCTTGGGTAAAGGTGTTGGCTGACAACACCAGCAAACTTCATGTTTTTCAGTGCAGTCTCCACATTCACTCCAAAGCACGACTAGCCCCTCATGGCAAACCTCGGAGGAGGAGCAGTCATGAGCCTCTGAGGATGTACCGTCAAGGCCTTTCCTCCACCCTCCATAAGGTCAGAGCCATTCACCTCTGAGCTATCTATAGTTGGTTCAGGGTCGCACAGTTGAAGAAGGAAGAGACGGTCAAGGGCTCTGACACTCAGAACTGCTGGAGCACAGGTTTCTACTAGTGCAGATGATGAGCCTCTGGACATGGATATTAACGAGCTGATGGAGACGCAGTGGCAAATAGGGAACATCTGTGCAGACTGGGAATGTGCCCCCAAGTTTAATCTGATGTTGTGGCTCCAACATTTGAGTACTTAGTGGATGTAGAGAGCCTGGACCAGCAAAACTGTCAGCAATTTCGGGTTGAGATCTTAACTCCATCGTTTAAGCCCTGGTTGGTTTCAAACCATTAATCATCCTTGGGTGCCCCGTTCCTTCAAGGGAGGGAGATGCCATTTCACACCAACAGGGAGGTGGAGTGACATATAACCACCCAAGATTGCAATCTCAGGACACTCCAGGATCCGTCACCCCACCTGCCCTCTGCCAGAGACCCAAACGCCTCCATTAGGACAGGCCAAGGAGATTGCAGCAGCCTGTTTGCAGAAGACACACAGCAGGCAGGAGCCTTCTAGGCTCAATATAGTTTGCCCACAAAAGGTAATGTGGCAAAACAGCCAACAGGATTCCTCAAACACTGCTGCAGCTACCAAGATGGCAACAAAATAACAGTAGAAAGAGTAAGATTAAAGACCTTTGGAGTCACTGTGGGTGCATGGTCTCAACTTTTGTAAAACCAGTCTACCTGTTGGGTTAAGGTGGTTGAACATGGAAGTACTGATCCAGGAAGAAGTATCAGAAATGAGATGTACATTTTCCAATTGAGATCTTGGCATTGTCAAGCTCCTTTTTGGGCCCTTATCAAGCTGCTCCTGTCTTGGGTGAAATTCTGCCCTACAGTTACCTCTACATGATTAACCCATGACTGGATTTCTCCTTTGTGGCCTTGATTGTCTCCCAAGAATGTGGTAATTAGGTCTGGCTAACTCTTGGAGGCTTTCGTTATCCATTCCCTGAGATAACAGCCTTCCAACCTATAGCCTGCATGTCAGTTTCACCCCCATGTTCTTAACTTCCAGGTGCACAGGCCAACAAATGCTCTGCAAGGTGAATGTGGATAACCCCAGCACCATTACAGTTGATTCTTAGCTGCCCTTCTTGTTAAAGGTCAATGAATGATGGGGCATGGTTGGGATGTTGGTGTTTGCAGCTGAAAGAATCTCTTTGCTTTTGTTCTCCAGTGAGGGTTTCCCTTCAGCAAAGCACTTAACTGAGTGCTCACATAATGATATTTTTCACTTTCTGTTTTGTTTCCTTCAGTTGGGAGTGTTTGTGCTGTGCAGGAATACATGCAAACAGATCTCAGGGCCCCTCCCAGTCACACTGTCCATTCTCTAATTGATCTTCTTTTGAAAAAAAATTTTGAAAAAGTCAGAGGTTCTAAATTTTTCCCTTGACTCTTTCACCTCTACCCTCCCTGTTTAAAATACACTTTCCTTCAATAACTGTCTTTTCTCTTTCCACTGACATCCCCTCTGTCCTTCCTCAACTTCCCCCTGTGATATCAACCCTTTCATGACCTCTCTCAATATTCCTGCTTCTGCAGAAACAATCCAGTCACAACCACAATCGCAATCACCAATCAAAAACTATCCATTATGCCACCCAGTTCCTGTAATATCACTGGACCATACGTTCAACTTTCTCCATCCTATTGTCTTTTCCACCAAATGGCAGAAGTTTGGAGCCATAATGTTGAAATATTTAAAATACAAAGGGGAGAAAAATTTAACTTGGACAACACTGTTTCGCTGTTGTTAGACTGGACAACCGTTATACGCAGAACCTGATAGTACTTCGCATTGTGGTTCAAGACAACTTTCCACTCCAAAGCCTTTAATTGAAAATCAATTAGATATTTTTTATTAACTCACAATTTTGATAAAAGACTGTTTTGAACATTTCTGAACACATATGCAGAAAAGGAATGCTAAAAATCTCTGAAAAGTTCAGTGTGACATAAATGATTAATATACATGTGTAATTAATTGTGTAAGTTGCACAAAAAACCCTAATTACAACCACAAAAGCTAGGATTTGGATCTTTGTTTCATACTAGAGTACACTACTTAATTGCAAATTGCACAATTAAGACAAGGAATCTTACCATTAAACATGTAATGACAATAACAAAGGCAGTGAGGAAGATAACCACAGCATAGACTCCTTCTTTATTCCAAATCCCATCCCTCCCATGTTCTCCATGCACAACATTTTTCTGAAAGGAAGCACAAGATTGACATTAGTCCAGATTGCTAAATATCTGTTATGCTTTGCATTTTCTTTTACAACAATTTACCTGTAATGTATCCAAGTTCAAACCACAAAAACAATTAGGACAGATGCACTTGTCAAAAATATTTACCGATCTGTTTTTGAAACTGAATTCTAATTTTTTTTGTCATTTCAAATAAAGTCAAATCTGTCAGGGTCAAAGACCAGTTTAATCAACATGATGAAAATTACTTAAAGGGCTTCAATGCTGTTATCATGAGAACACCTGACTCTTAAAATATGATTCTTTAAATTGATTTCATGGACATCACATAACTTCCTCCTGTAGCAGCTGTGAAGTCTAATATTGCAGGCTTTTGCCAAGCAAATTTGATTATAGTTAACGTTTATCCTTTTCCTTCCTCCTTTTCCCATCAGTTCATTCCTCTTTCCATTTCCTTTGATGTGGATATTGACTCCGGGCTGGCTTTTGTTTCTAAGGATGCACCAAAATCACATCCAGAGAGTTTTTAAAGGTGAGCCGAGACATGTGAGCATTAACATGCTGTTTTTAACATGGAGACAGAATATTCTTTTTCACTTTTTTTTCCTGGGATGTTTATTGCCCTTGAGAAAGTTGTGCTGAGCTGTAGTCCCTGCTGGCTGAGATATGACCAGTACTCTGTTAGGTAGGGAGCTCCAGGTTTTATGACCTACTGATGACATAGCTCCAATTCAAGGTATATGTGAATTAGAGAGGAACTTGGAGATGATGGCTGTTCCTAAACTTCTGCTTGGCTTCTCCTTCTAGGAAGTAAAAATTAAGGTTAGGGAATAAAATAACTTTGATGAGTTGTTCCTGTGCATCTTGCACCACTGGTGGAGAGGGTGACTGTTTAAGGTGGTGGATAGGGTGACAATGGATGGTAGCAAGAACTGCAGATTAGGCATGGAGATGGAGACGGCGGAAAAAGAGTTTGACATCCAGACGTGAATGGAATTCATTGATGTGTGGGTGCAAGGGAATGATGACGGTTCCTGAACCAAAACATTGACTTTCCTACTCCCCTGATTGCTGTGTTCCTCCAGCTCCACAGTGTATTGACTTGGACAATGGATAGTATTGGGCTTCCTGAATGCTGCTGTTGTTCTCCTCCAAGTTGATGGAGAGTTTTCCATCACACTGCTAAATTGTGCCCTGTAGGTGGTGGACAGATTTTGGGGAACCGCGAGGTGAATTACTCGCTGCAGAATAAACAGCCTCTGAATTGCATTTGTAAGTGTAGTATTATGTGGCTTGTGTTGTTTTTCCTGGTCAAAAGGTGAGCCTCAAAATATTGTTGGTGGAGAATGTATGGTAATACTATTGGTTGTCAATGGGACATGGTTAGGATCTGCCAAGATGGCCTTCTTTCTGAACTTGGGCAGCACCTGATTAAATGAGTGTGATGTCAGACAAATCATAAGGACATTAGAGGTCATATTTTCACAGTACACCCGCTTTCATAAAAAGAAAGTTTTTGCTTTGACAGCAGCAGTGTCCGTTGTTTTATGACAAAGCTGAGAAGAGCCATTTGCAAACACATTTGTTACAATTGATTTCAACAGTTTATTACTAAGACTGTTTAACAAATCACATTACGTAGGTGGCAAGAGAAGTGGCTTATTGGCCCAAATTCTCAATATTGTTGTTGTTGGATGATTTTATTATGTGAAGAGTCCTGGTCCTCAAAGCTAGATAAGCATCCATGCAAGCTTTTTCAGCAGGGTTTGGTTGAAGAGAAATTAAAAACATAGGATATGAAGCACCTCTTACATACTGCAACTTAGTGACGTTATGTTATCAACTGGCACAGACAGCATATTCAGAAAAAGAAACCTTCCTGGTTGGTGTATCTCATCAGTTCATAGTGGAGTCCAATCCTTCCCCTAACACAATAGCAACACATGCCCATTTGAAGTAAATTTTGTCTAACAGCAACTTAAAGTGGAAATACCAGCAAAATGTTTCCTTTCCTAACTTATTGCATTACCAGACTGAATAAACTTGAGCAATTTATGTCAGGCAGAGCTGAACCTAGGACGTTTACAACCTATATTCCACATTCTTAATGAGTCAAACTAGGCAGTAAAAAAATCATCACTTGATTTCCATTGTGATAAATCGCAGTGAAAGTTTTAATAGAGTTTTTCAATAAATTCATTTTCAAATATTTAAAATCAAGTGATGGACTAGACACTCTAATTAAAACCATTTTCAACTCCATTAATCAAACAAAACCAGGTCAACACTCTTAAATTTATCAAGGATATTTTTAAGTGCAACTTCTTTTTTAAAATTATATTCCAAAGTGCTAGTCAATTGCTCCGATCAACGGCAGATTTTACATTCACTACTTTGTAAATGAGTTTGAACTGGAACTTAATCAAACACCTTCTGAAAACAAGCATGATCCCGAGTGTAATTTGTACCCATCACTTCTCCTGCTGACAGTTAATAAAAGGAATTTTCCCTGTCACAGTACTTGGAGTTGTACGCTTCAAAACAAAATTATTTTCAGCCACTTCTCTTGCCACCTACGTAATGTGATTTGTTAAACAGTCTTAGTACTAAACTGTTGAAATCAATTGTAACAAATGTGTTTGCAAATGGCTCTTCTCAGCTTTGTCATAAAACAACGGACACTGCTGCTGTCAAAGCAAAAACTTTCTTTTTATGAAAGCGGGTGTACTGTGAAAATATGACCTCTAATGTCCTTATGATTTGTCTGACATCACACTCATTTAATCAGGGTTCAAAAAGATATAAATGCTGATGTAATGAACAAGAAGACTGCTGTTTATTTGTCCATCAAGGCACGCCATGCTTTGAGTCCAAATGCCTTTTCAATGAGGCAGTGCAACAACAAAGAATGAAAGAAGAGACAGGATCAGTGAAATGAAAAACACTTGGACAAAACTTGTGACCCTGAGCAGATGTCATCCTTGAGTTGAGGGGCAGTGATGCTGATGATATCAGCTCCATCCTTCCTAATGTTGCCTTGTTGTAATAAATCACCCGCAGCCAAATACAATATTACAAAGCTGTCTAATGGGGTGATTAATTTTCAAAGAACTTGGCTCTCTTGTGGTGAGTGACAGAAGACATCTGATGCACAATTGCAAATAAGCGTGTCACGTATAGGTACTTTATTGCATGTGTTAGTGTTACATAACTGTGCTGGGTGGGTCAAAAGTTGCATGTGCAACTTGGACCTCATGCCCTACCTGTAGTTTTTCACCAATATTTTTTCTCTAACTTCTTAGAAAATTTAAAGTTTGCTAAACATCATGTTTAAACCCAGAATTAAGAGTGTTCAAAAGACAAACAAATAAATTGTAGCACTGGAATACAGAGAAAACATCACAGTTTTTTTTTTCACAAAGAGATGAAGCTTATAGAAAGTTAGGAGATGATTTCCTTACATCCCAGTTCATGGTCATAATTTTGTGTTTTGGACAGACAACAAAATAGCATCTGCAGGAAGAAGTCTGAAATGCACACATTAGTTGGAGCTTAATTCCATCCTCTGTGTCAAGTTTGGTGCTAGGGTGGTATTTATTCAGGAGAATGGGTGATTGTTGGGGATCCAGCCACCTTCCCACTTCCACCTCTGTAAAATCTTCTGTGGGAAGTCTCATGAATGGCCTTTGACATTCACGTCTGCCACCATCAACTCACAGTGACAGCAGTATGTACCAGGTATAAGATGCATTACAACCAAGGACATTTGGATGGCATTTTTCAAATCCATGGCCACTAGCACCCAGGAAAACAAGGGGAGCAGGCACATGGGAATACTACCACCTATGGAATACTGCATTCCTGAACTGCTTCATCACATCTCATGCAAGTACACCATAGTGCTTTTAGGAAAGGAGTTACCCTCAAAACCACATACCATCCCGATTTGGAACAATATCATTGTTCCTTCTCTGTCGCTGGATCAGAGCACTGCAATTCCTTTCTGAACAGCACTGTAGTATGCTTGTTTGAGATGCACTGAAGCAGTTCAAGAAGGCAGAACCTTGCCAACTTCTCAAAGGCAATTAGAGATCGGTAATAAATACTGGCCTTGATAGTGATACTCACACCCCATGGAATAATAAAAAAAGTTTTCAATTTTCTCTTTTCATTTCACTCATTTATTTCACTCCTTTCTGAATATCATTCTCTTTTTAGAGTTTTAAAGTCTGTTGTTGTGGAAAGCATGCATGTCACATTATGGCTGTGTGAATGTGGAGATCACATCACCATGCAAACTGTTAACCATTACCTTTTCATGGAAATTAGGATAGGCGATTTGTGCTGATCTAGCCAGCGACACACAGATCCCACTAACAAACCTCTAAAACAAATGCCCTTCACTAACCTGTCTACAACTCTGCATGAATACAACTTAGCAAATCAAACTGACCAATGAAACTCTGCCAGGACTCAACTTTCAAACAACATTGTCAAACAAAACCTCTCAACAAGCATTAGGTCCGCTGTGGTACAAAACAGCCAAACTAATCAACATTTTGCCATCTTCCATTCTGAAAGAGTTAAAAACTAGCAGAAATGCAGACAAGAGTCATGCCCACAGCCACAAGAAACCAAGATTATTCAACTCCATCAACCAGAATCCCTTTGATCATTGCTTACAATCAATTGCGTACTAAACATTATGTTGGGAAGGACCATCATAGAATTTCTTTGTTTTTCTCATTTTTGGTTTGGAACTGTCAGCTGAAATTGAAAGTTGAACCTTGAATCTATTTTTACTGGTTCATGAATGTTGGCATAACTGGCTATAAAAGAGGGAAAAACCAGTAAAATACTGGTAATACTGGGAAATGAACATACTTGTCATACTGGAGCTACATTTTGAAGTGTGCAAGATAAGTTGGACCAGTATGTGCCACTCACAGGTTTTACGGTGATTTTTTTCTGGCTCGTCCATCATTTATTACTCATCCCTTACAGAATGTGCAAAAGCAAAATTGCCTAGAAGCTAGCGATATTTATCAGTAAACCTTACTTTTATGACATATTTAGTTTAATTCTTTGCTTAATATCAATGTTTAATATTGAAAATGCATTAATTTAGCAGTTCTTAGATTAACTACGTTTTTAATTCACTATTGTTTGCTTATTTTATATTATTTTATTTGATGAAGCACCCACTGCTCTATAATTTAAGTAATATACTGCTACATTTTTGTTTTTTGGGTTTCCTATTACTGGGGTGTTGGTATGAATGGTGCCGCAGTAATTTACAAGAAACTCTGTTACTATATTCCATGTGTTGGTATGCCTGCTGTTCTATGGTTGTACCGATTTAATGATGCCTGCTGTCCTGTTAATTCAGTAATGTACTGGTGCCCCCTGCTCCATGAGTTTGTTCCTTTGCTTCTGATCCTATTATCATATGAATTTGATTCATTGGCACCTCCTTAAAATTTAATTTGTTTGCGCCTGCTGCTCTATCTGTGTTGCTATTAACTTGCTGGTGCCTGTTGCTTTATCATGCTATTAAGTGGTGTCTGCTGCTCCATTCATTTAATCATTGACTGATTCCTATTTTGTTGGTAAGCTCATATGAAATGGAAGCAGTAATAGGGTAAACCTGCTCTGCATTCATGGCTGGTTTGATTGCATAACATTTAAACAATGGTGACATAGTGGTTCTGGACATGGACCCCAATTTACCTTGAACCTGTGAACTGCAGACACATGCTGGACATCTTCAGGCCACATGATGCCATCAATAGCCTTTTGGCAAGCTTGGAGGTGGAGGAGGAATTGGGTGTGTATTGAAAGGGATAAGGAGAGATAGGGTGTGGTGATTAGGAAATGGAAGAGAGAGTGAACAGGAGAGAAAGGGAGGCAATCTAGACCTGGACAATTGTTTCATAGCAATGGCCTGTGGTTTTTGTCTGGAGTTGATGTGAAATAATCACTTCCATTTTTCCTAATTTCTTACAAAACCTACTTTTTCTGGTGGCAACCAGCAATCAATGACTTAGGAATCACTGGTTAGGCCATATCTGGGCCTAGTTTTTCAAGTAGCCAACTGAGCAGGGCTGCAGTCAGGTCAGTCAAATCTACAATAAGAGTCTCAAAATTTATATTGGGAAATAACCACATTGTTGGGATCCAATATGGAGCATTTCATTTTGCACATGGATCAGTTATGTCCTGTTAATGATTGGCGTATGTAGATAGAAGCTGTTATCTGTGTACAAATGATCTAGCTTTCCAGAATACAGCAAACACATCTCTCTGATAGTAGACATAGGGATTACCAGACAAAAGAAAACCCATGGATCATTTAACTTGCCTTCTCTCATTTTGGTCCCTCTTCTGCTGCTCATTTGTTTTTATCCTCAAAAGTAAAGAAAAAAGCTACCAAAAAAATCTACACTTCAGGGAATAAACATTTCCTATTCTTGGAATTCACTTCATATTGAGCCATTGTTCTGTGACAGTTTTTGTCACATGCTATTGTAAAATCATTATTCTATCCACAGAGAGAATGATCAATTAATGAAGAAAAAAAGCATGAAATAGAAAAACAAATCTGGCAACTACCCACTTTTATCAAACCAAGTCTTGTCTGCAAGGCATACTTTACAGCACTGTAGAATAATAATTGCCAAGGCTCAGTCTAAAGATACACAGAAAGTAAATGGATGAAGGTAATCATCAATAGTGTTATTTGTTGTTCAGACACTCTGCTGCCTATCACACATTTACCATTTATTTTTCTTTATCAGTTCTTTTAGGACAAACTGAGGTTTCACAAAAACACTTTTAGTCAGATTGGCAGCTGACCTAAGCTTAGATGTGTCTGGCACAACTATGATGTCTTCCAACATAGGTGCAGATCTGCTTATATTCCGCAATTGAGACAATCAAAAGTGACAGTTCCTTACCTCAGGTGTAACCTGTGTTATGCCAAACTGTGACAGACTTTGGTGCAGCATATTTACATTGAGCGATTGCATCACTTCATCAGGAGATATTGGATCTAACGTGGCACTTTTATCATTCACTGAAGATATATAAAATTCAATGCAGTTCTTCTTGCCCTGTGTCATTTTCCAAACATAAAAATAAAAGGTAACAAGGATATTTCTGATTTAAATATTTTGCACAAATCTTAGCTCATTTCTGCATTATATGTACAGGAAGAATAATATTTCATCTACCTAATAAGTAGCTTAGCTGTGCAATTTGTATATGTTTACCCTTCCTTTTAGTAAGCAATTAGTATATCAATATGTTTAATAGTAATGTAATCTGCTGGACAGTATTTAAATATTTACACAATTATTCAAAACAAAATCCTGTGTTTCAGGACTCACTTATTTCTCATTTACTCCCCATTTGTGAGATATTTAATCAGAATTTATAGCTGACAAACTATAAAAGCCAAGGAGACAGGAGGGAGAATGGAAAATGGAATATTGCAGTATGTTTCAGAAAGCTGCTAGTGCGACTGCACATTTGGGATCCATTAGCTCTTATCTGCCTTCATTAGCTCTTCTCTTAGTTTCAAGTAATTGTCAACAATATTGAAAGTAACTGTGTTGTAAGCTCTTAATTTGTCCTTCTACATTATGTAGGACACTTGTGCACATTAAAAAGAAAACCACAATATATTCACAACTAATCGTATTTATCAATGGTAACTAATAAGCTTTAGATGAATTACTACAGTGTAAGATTTATCAAAGAAAATACTTTATCTTTTATTTTGAAAAAAATAGATCTTTGGTGCAAAGTAATACTGTGATAATATTTATATCTTTACACATTTACAAATGAGGCTATATTGTTCATCATAGCACTTTTTTTTAAACCCAGACAAAGGAACTAATGTGATGGATGCTACAAATATAATTGTTTAGTGGCTGGAAGGTAACTTACATTCAGATGATTAATATGCACTTGCTGTGGTAAAAGGCCCAAGGCTGCAGCTATTCCTTCACGGAATATCCGAAGTAAGGTGACATTCAATTTTTTTACATCCATTTGTATGGCCTGGAGAAAAGGGCATGAGAAATTTCAGTAAAGATGAAAATGAATAATTCTTTGAGGTTTTCATTAGGAGTATCCATTACCTGAAAAATGCCACAGAACACAGGCCAATATTTAAGACATCTAAATACAGCATATTAAAAAATGGGAATAAATGCAACTGAAACATATATGGGAGTACTAACTTGGATAAACCTCAAAAATGGGCAAAAACATTATGATAGAACAACTTCATACTACCCCAGCCTTGGAACGATCTCCAAATAGAGTCAGTTCAAAGTAGACTGTTCATTGGTAAGAAGCATTTCATTGGTGGCAACACCATTTAACAACATTTAACCTAACCTCCTCCAGGACTTTCAATTCACCCACCCCCAAAACCTCATCTTCACCATGGGCATCCAGTCCCTGTACACATGTACCCCCACACAGATGACCTAAAAGCCCTCCACTTCTTCCTCTCCCACAGGCCCAACCAGCCCCCCTCCATCGATACCCTCATCCGCTTAACAGAACTTGTCCTTATCCTCAACAACTTTCCTTTAACTCCTCCCACTTCCTACAAACCAAAAGGGGTGACTATGGGCACCCGTATGGGTCCGAGCTATGCCTGCCTCTTCGTAGGATACGTGGAACAGTCCCTCTTCCACTTTTACACGGGCACCATCCTTCACCTCTTCGTCCGCTACATCGTTGCCTGTATCAGTGCTGCCTCGTGCTCCCATGAGGAGCTTGAACTGTTCATCGACTTTACTAACACCTTTCACCCCAACCTCAAGTTCGCCTGGACCACCTCCGATACCTCCTCCCCTTTCTAGACCTCTACGTCAGTGAGACCAAACATAGACTCAGTGACAGATTTGCAGAGCACCTGCGCTCTGTATGCTATAATCAACAACACCTTCCAGTCACTAACCATTTTAACTCCACCCCTCCTACTCCCTGGGTGACATATCCATCCTGGGTCTTCTGCAGTGCCACAATGATGCCACACTGGAGGAACAACACCTCATATTCTGCCTTGGGAGCCTACAGCCTGCAGGCTTAAACATAGACTTCACCAGTTTCAAAATGTCCCCACCCACAGCCTCATCCCTTGTCCAACCCTGCCTCTCATCCCCGCCTCCTTGACCTGGCACTACCTGTCCATCTCTTTCCCCACCTATCCGCCCCACCCTTCCCACTAATCAATCCCCTTACCCCTATCTGCATCCACCTATTGCCATCCCACCTTCCTTCCCCCAGCCTCACCTCTCTTCCCTGTATTTATTTCCCACCTCCCTTCCACCTCCCCAGTCTTGATGAAGGGTCCAGGCCCAAAACGTTGACTCACCTGCTCCTCTGATGCTGCCTGACCTGCTGTGTTCCTCCAGCTCCACGCTGTATCGACCCTGACTCCAGCATCTGCAGTTCTTGCTATCTCCATTGAACAATAGCCTGGATTGCTTAAAGCTAACCTGCATTTCTTAGTGAAGAGCTTAAGATTTGGGGTCTTAAAAAGAATTAACATGAAGCTCACTGAGTCTTGGTTCAAATTTAATGATGACGCTTCAAAGAAAACGCAGGTGGATATGATCATTTGCATCTTAGAAGATAGAAAAGGAAAAGGTTCAAATTGACCACAGCAATGACATTGTTGGCATAAGAAGTAAGAGAAAGACAGAAAAGAAAGTTTGCTAAAGGCTAAGGTTAAGAGAGGAAGCAGATAATGAGCTTTATTTTATGTTTTGCCCAAGGCCCTGGTTAGCTGCTAATGAAGTCTCCAGTGCTCGAAATGTAGCATTTCAGAATTCTTCAGGAGATTTGAAGCATCTGGCACAATAAAGAAAAGAGGTTTCTTGAAGGGGAGGTTGTGAAACTTTCATTTGAAGATGATGAACCATTACTGTCCATTTGTTTCATTACTTCCTAGTGAATTTCACTATCGAAAACATCTCTTGCATTAAAAATGTTCTTTAATATTTACCCCTTTCACAAATGCTTGTTGTTAACAATTTATTTTGTTAATTTAGTTGAAGACTTGCTGAAAAGAATAAATGCTTATGTAGGGCTGCAATTTGAATGTGGCCTATAAGTGGGTGCCGACCTTTCTCAATAACATACTTGTAGAGACCAGCCCAGTGCTAAATGCCATGTACACGGATTACTAACCCGTATTTCTTAAACAGCGGACCCCTCTTAAATGAGGAGGTGCATTCAGGCTGCTTCAACTGGTTGAACTGTTAGTGATGGTGTTGATGGAAGGCATGACACTTCCAATGAAACAATAGGACAGAGGGTTAATCCAGGAGATCAAGATGAAAAGAGAGGGCATGTTTCTGCAGGAGGCCAGGTGGCCCTCAAGGTATACCTGTAAAGACAACAAAACTGAGTGGCCACTGGGCTGAGATCCAGGTGTCTGACCCTAAGCACCTGGAATCACCTTACATGAGAATAGTCAAAGCTAGCCATTGCATCTTTCAAAACATCATATACCCACCATACCACCAGCCTTTCACACTCCTTCATGTGCTATCTCTGCATTATTCACCCTTAAGCAATCCCAAACAATTAGGACTCATGCCTAGCTAGCAATTAACTGTTTCACCTCATTCTCATACATTTGCCAATGTTGCGAGCCTCATCTTGTAGCCTCCACACTCAGTCAGCTATGACACCAAAATGACCTCAAACATTTTGCAGCACACTCACTGATATTCTTCCCTCCCTCATAGACAAGCAGAGGTTATTAATAACAGGGTGAAGCAGAAGAGAACTGTTAAGGGCCAAATGTGCCTGTGTCTTGAGCCCTTTCAAGGAAACGGGTGCACCACATTACACAGTCAGAGATGACTGAGGATGTAACATTTGGCATCCACAAAAACATCCAAAAAAATCCTGCTTTGTGCACTTCTCAAATCCCAATGTATCCACATCCTGCTATCTGACATGATGTGCAAGCTGAAGGGAGAATAACTGTGAACCTCTTGTTTCCAACTTCATCCCCTTTGCTGCATCCAGCCCTTCTCTTTTTTTCACCCTGTTCTCAGATATCCAAATCCTGCTACCTCACCAACCAATGATGCATTGTGGTGGCTTAAATATTGGAGGAACAGGAACAGTACAGGATAAAAGTACACAGCTCCTGCCAGGACAGCGCCCATTCACTACCTTGACATGCCCTGTATGGTCAAAACCTACTGCACCTTAAAGGAGTGAGCTACAGTACCTCTCCCTGGTAATATCTAACAGTTCAGTCATCACATCCTCGTCGATGCTAGCATCCTCAGACTCTGTTCCTGGCTGAGAATATGTAGGAAGTGTGCTCCATGGGTATCTTAGATGTGTACGGTGTTCTAATCAGGTCCTCTTTCTCCCGTCTCTGTGAATAGTTTCCCCTCTTTTCAGCCTATGGTCCCTCTGACCATTTTACTGCAGCCTCAAACAGTCAGCACCAACACTCCCATCCCCATATGCTAGCAGGCTTTCTGCTAACAATCATTAAAGGTCTTCCACCAGCCTTGTAAAAAAAGTTCAGCAACATTTGCTTTTAATTCCAACATGTCTTCAGGACAAACACACAATACTGTGACTTGCACTGCTACAGTGGTTTGGTCACCATCTTTGTCTGCCCAGGCTTACAAAAAGGCTGTCTCCATTAATACCACAGAGTCAAACGTCGTGGGTATAAACATTTGTCTTTTAGCCTCCATAACACATCAGTTTGCTTAACGAAAAGATATTAATGTACCATATTGGAAATACTTGCAAACTATAATGGATGTTGGAGATCTGAAATAAAAAACAGAACGTGCTCCAAGAAAGAAAATAGAAAGGTTAACTTGGCTTCTCTCCCCGCAGATGCTGCCAGACCTGCTGAGTTTCTTGAGCACTTACTGTTTGATTTGTCTCATTTGAATTTTAGAACTGGATGCAACACGAGACACAAAACAAGGCACAGGTTTTAAATATTTGATAAGTCTTTGATGGCTTTTGGAATGACCTTCAACTCACACTGGAAGACAAAGTTGCTGAAGTCTGCAGCAGGCATAAATGTTGCGAATTATACACAGTTGCCCCAATAATTACTACAAAACAGGAAATGGCTGATACCTTTTTGAGGATGTAAAGGTTAAATGTTGAATTGCAATTAAAATGTATCTGCATACCTCTAGGTAAGACTGATTAAGAAACCTCTTCCTGAGCAGATTAGAACATAAAACGTGTTTCCTGCTGTTAGAGCTATGCCTGCAATGTTAATTATCAGTATCTTGTTTCTTCTGCACATAAAATGTCTCTTGAGTTCTTATTTGATTATATTGTATTTCTAGGGAAGGAAATCACCATCTTGATGGATTGTAGAAATGTTACTGCCAATGTTCTGTACAAAGTTAAGTGGAAGTAATATTGATATTGTTTCTCAGATGAGAGCAGTACTTGTCAACACATTCGTCTTGAGCTTTGTGCTTCTAATTTTGCATAGCAACTGCAGGCTAGCCTTCTGAGAATTTAGAATCCTTATTAACAATCTGCTTTGAAGATATTGAACTTTTCATTTACAAAAGCAATAAAACTGATTCCACTTATGTTCATTCCACTATCTAGTGCAAATCCTGCTAATATTTTCAGGAAGCTAGAATCGGTCTTTCCACACAAAGATTCGGTTGAAGTTTTTTGTTTTTTGTAAACAGTGCTTGAAGTGTTCATATTATACAACAGGAAGGGAGATGAATTTTAGAAGGAACTGTTGCAAAAGCAGTGTAGGCAATTAGCAGTGTCAAATCACTAATCTATTAATTGACAGGGTAGGCAATGAGAAGCTGATTCCCCTGGCTGGAACATTTAGAACTAGGGGACATAGGGCAGGATGTTTTCTGGTTCTCAAACCCACCTGTGGGTGGGGACAGATTGGGAGAGAAACGATCACTCAATGTGGTGCCTACTGGGAGGATTAAATCCATTATTTTCAGTGCTCACTCCAAACTCCTTTCCCTAATGATTAATTCCTTCTCACTCCTCGGCAA